GAGAGGCAGGCTCACAGGAACTTGTGAACTATTTCTCTCTTCCCGCCCCCCCCCCCGCCCCAAATAGACCATAGACACAAGCCCATGTTGCATCGATTCAGCCGCCTGTGCGAAAATCCCCTGCAGCCTGCAACACGGGTTTTTATCTGCTGACTTGAAAAGCGCTGGAGGGATGGCTTGATGTTGAGTCTCACACAAAGCTCGAGCAGTCCGTGGAGTAATTCTCTTACTGAATTGTCGCCCTCCGCGGCACGCATTTCATCTTCCCTGTCTCCTGGGGAGGATGAGAACTGTTGAATCCAGAGCAGCAGAGAGCTCCACGCCCGAGCAGCCTTGAGCAATAACGCATGCAAAGCGCTCTGCGGTATGGAGAATAGGAACTGTTCTACCTTTGATCTGGCACTGTTGCCCGGGGACTGACTGGCACGGTAAGGTGCTGACACAGAATCTCTCCCTGAGAGAGATCGGTGGCGGGAACAGCTCTGCTTGCCTCCGACATGTTTCCTTTCTTCTCCATGAAGGATTTGTCTTACCCTACTTTCAGTGACCTCACTGGAATGGCTTCGGAAGCCCAGTACCATTTCCGAGCTCCCTGCTGTATGCCTGAGTCTCCTTCCACTGCGACAGCAACGCCCAGTAGTGCATGGGTACGCATCACATCCTGAGTCCTCAGAGAATTGCTGAAAACTGGGATGACCTTTGAAGCCCCAATACAGTCACAAAGCCAGTGATGTTCAACTCATCCCAGAGAAAACATCAGCGGGGCGCAGGATCCACGCGGGCTGAGAACCCAGTATTCGTGTTTGTGATGGTTGGGAACTCAGTCCAAAGCCATGTGGACTGGCAAGTCAGGACCCTCTTCCCAAATCTTCCACCTGGGAAAGCAGAGCCCAAACTTGAAGTACTAGAGTCTCCACGGAAGGGAGAGGGACAGAGAAGACCCCCGGGTTCCCAGCAGGGTAGCCAGAGACTAAGACTGCCCTTCCTGGGGGAATGTGTTGAGAAACACGGATGTTGCCAGATAAGCCCACCCTCACCCACCACTACCATGCTCGTGAAACCATTTCAAAGACTAAGGGCTATTCAAGGGGCACAGGTTCCCTGTCTCCATCAGGAAACCACAGGAAGGCATTACCATGGTTCCCTAGTCCCCACCTACACAAGAGCCAAAAGCCCGCAGCCCACAAAGCAAGCATCCAAACTGAGGAGGCAGGAACAGGGCAAGAGGGATGAGGGAGAGATGCAGAAGAGATGGTTCCTTGGTCAATAGCACCAACAGGATCTGGGTTTGATTCCAGCGCCCACAGGGCAGCTCCTCACAGTCTCCAACTCCATTTCCTGGTGATGCGATGCCCTCTTGTGGCTCCTGTAGGTACTGTAAAGCATGCGGTGCACAGATATTCAGATAAAACACCCACACGCAGAAATAGAAAAAGAAATAACATTTTAAAAGAGACACACAGCGGAAGTGTGTGACATCAGCAGGCCAGAGAGATCGTGACCCACGGGACCGTGGTCTGGAGCTCAGCTCTGTGAGATGTGGCCTTGTTTGCCTCCTACGCTCCTGCTGCCTGCGGCCAGGCCCAGACAAGTAGCTAACCATTTCTTCAGGGTAGGAAAATGTTTCTTTTGTAGATACAGCCTGTTTGTTTGTTTGTTTGTTTGTTTGTTTGTTTGTTTGTTTTAAGGTGTTGGATGCTGGCTCTAAGGCCTCACTACTCTAAGCAACCTCTCCACCAATGGTGTTTCACCTCCCCCTTCCCCCCCCCCCCCCCCCCCCCCCCCCCCAGCTTCAGGACATGAGTCATTTTGCCTTAAGCAGCTTCAGTACTTTCTCTGAGTCTGTCAGCCCCTGCCGTCCTCTTTCGGACACACTTAACTCCAGGTGTCTCTCATGTGGAGCCTAGGGTCCTTTGAGGTCATTGTCCCTGGAGGCTCTAGAGTACCCGGTCAGACGCCATCCTGTTCAAGAAGCTGCCAGTGAGCTGAATGTCCCCATGCCTGGGAGGACCTGGACCAAGGGAGCTGTGTCCTCCAGCTCTCTTCTCCATTCAAGGTGCTTAAAAGCAACATGACCAGGATCCGCACACGTCCCCACAAGCTTTCATGGCGGAGAACTTGAAAATCTTTGTCTCTTCTCAAAATCTCTCTTCAGCTCCCACCCCCTAAAAAGGCAAAGCCCACTCCTGTCCAAACAGCCTTCTCCTGTCTGTCTGTCTGTCTGTCTGTCTGTGCTTGCTATGATTCCCCATGCATACCTGGCCTCCACTAATCACAAAACAATCACTCTACACGGGTGACCGCTCCCGCAAGGTGGCTAGACTGAAGCTCACCTCCCATATGCAAACTAGCCATCCAACTTCTTGCCTGACATGCATGCCCAAGCCAACATCCCCTGCCTACACTGTCCCAGGACAGGTGCCAAGCCATTAGAGGCCACCCCTACAGTCCAGAGCCCTGGAGTTACCTCAGTCAGCTGCCTTGACTCTCCAGGGCACACCCCAGTGCAGACCCTGGCCACCCTAATGTGTCATGGGGCAGCCTGGTCTGTCCTGTTCTCTGGGGAAATCAATAAGTTCTCCCTTTGATAGAACTGGTCTCTTGAGTCATTCAGGCGTGACCATCAAACGCTGTCCTCCTCCCGTCCTGGAATCACCCTTCCAACTTGACTCCCTGACCTGAGGCTCCCTATACTGAACAAGGGAAAATAGAGTGGGGGGCACGGATAATGGGGAGCACACAGGACTTGTGACTTGATAGTGTCCCCAAGAGCAAGGAGAAGCTGGAAAAGGAGTGAAATGTTTCCCGTGGAAATTTGGCTTAAGATACATCCAACCTTTGGACATAAGGACACAGTGTGCCCTAAAAAGTTGACATTTGAGAACCATGCAATCAAGTTACCAAGAAAGTTGCAAAAGACCATTATAATGTTCTCATATTGGGCTGCACTCATAGACATCCCGGGGTGAGTGTGGCCCATGGGACCCAGGTTAGACGTGTGGGCTGTATGCTATCAGATGTATCAAACACTGAACTCAGGGAATGGGGAGCCACGTTGTGAGAAGGAAGCAGTTAGACTTTACAAAAGCCTCATTAGGGCTTCTTGGGCCACACCCACTGGAGAGGAGAAGCAGCTGCCAGAACTGCGGAGGACACAGACCCTAACAGTGATCCCTAATGGTCACCCTGTGACGGTGTCTGCTTGGCTGGTGAAGAACCGTGTTCGCTCAGATGCCTCCAGGATGGGACATGATGGGCAAACGGGAGGCAGACGACACAGAAGGCATGTTCAGAGTTCATTCACTGATAAAACCTGGGATATTTCATCACCATTAGCTTAGGCTGTATTTGTTTACAAGCCGTTCACCAAGTTGCTATTCCCTGAATGTGGTCATAGCATATTCACCAAAATAGTCAGAGCCCAGAGTTCCTTCCCAGAACCTGGTCGGGAGCAGGCCTTGTAGGGAGCCCTCCCTGCCCCCAGGCTGCAACTTTGCTTGCCCCTGCTCACACTGCCCACCCACTGCAGTGCATTTGTGGCTAGAAAGGTGTCTCTCTGTCATGAGGGCTTGGGCTCCATGGCAACCCAGGTGCTGTTCATCCCCCTGAGGCCCACAGCTATGCCACACTCTGGCTTCTGGCCCAGCCAGCGCCAGGAGCCTCTGTCACTCTCCTGCATCCTCAAGTGTGAAGTGAAGTGACGCAAATGTAGCCCTGACACCTTCCCAAGAGCCTGCATCAAGCCGGCCAGGCAGACAACACTAGAGAGGAAGAGAGAGAAGGGAGAAGGACGAGAAGCCACACCTAAAAGCCATGGACGGCCATGTCTGAAGGGGAGGCTGGCTGTGCGTAGTACTGCCTCCAGAGTGCTTTTCGGTGGGTTCTGCCCCCTTCTACAACACACCCAGGCAGTGGGCCACCTCCTCTCCACACAGGTAAAAGAGCAGAGCGTCCTCTGCCAGAAGCTTACAGCAATGAGCAAAGACAGGGATCCTAGATACCATCCTCAAGTCTGTGCAATCCATGTTTCTCATCACAGCCCTTTGGGCCCTGAGTGTGAGGAAACCATCGTCCTCTGAAAGACAGAGCAGCCTAACATGGCACTAGTAGGAGTCCCCGCCCAGCACATGGGGACCATGATGACCACCAATACCCCGGCCACACCAGAACTCAGAATGAGAACTCCACAGCAGGTTCTGGGGAGGGGGTCCTTCAATGAACAATCTGGAAACAGCTCTAACTTTCTTGCTGCCCTGGGGCAGTAAGAAAGACCTGTGATCAGGCGGTGAAAGGAGACAGAGACAGAGACCCACATTGGAGCACCGGACAGAAATCTCAAGGTCCAAATCAGGAGCAGAAGGAGAGAGAGCACGAGCAAGGAACTCAGGACTGCGAGGGGTGCACCCACACACTGAGACAATGGGGATGTTCTATCAGGAACTCACCAAGGCCAGCTGGCCTGGGTCTGAAAAAGCCTGGGTTAAAACCGGTCTCGCTGAACATAGCAAACAATGAGGACTACTGAGACCTCAAGAACAATGGCAATGGGTTTTTGATCCTACTGCACCTATTGGTTTTGTGGGAGCCTAGGCAGTTTGGATGCTCACCTTACTAGACCTGGATGGAGGTGGGTGGTCCTTGGACTTCCCACAGGGCAGGGAACCCTGATTGCTCTTTGGGCTGACGAGGGAGGGGGACTTGACTTGGGGAGGGGGAGGGAAAGGGGAGGCGGCAGTGGGGAAGAGACAGAAATCTTTAATAAATAATAAAAAAAAAGAAAGACCCGTGGCCCCCAAGAGGCAGCACCCCCAGGCATCCTCATTGTCAGGATGCCTCAGTTTCTTTGTTCCTCAGCAGAAAACATCGCAGCCCCGTTTCCAGGGGACTTCGAAATCCTGTGTGCCGGGCATGGTTTCTTATTAAACGTTAACTCAGAGAACACCTTTGCCTGGAGGTCAAAGGCCACACAGCCTAGCAAAAGGGAACTCTGGAGTTCTGACTCTGATTTGGCAGAGCTGAGCATCTGCAAGATTGGAACAAGGCTGCCCTCTCTCTTCTCTCGGGGACACTGCTTCCTGCAGCAGGAACAGCAGACATTCTGAATGCCAGCCCAGATGGGAGGTAAGGGGATAAAGGGACACTTCCTCCTGTAGGAGCCACATGACCCTGCGGACAGCATCCCAGAGCAACAGCCGCAGCTGCCCGCGTGGTTGCTGGTTGCACGCTCAGGTGGATCTGTGATGTGGAGCTTTGCAGACAGGGAAGCAGAGAAACCAGCCCTGAATGGACAGAGGAGGAAGTCCCCTGACCGAGATCATGGGCCCAGGCTTTCACTAGGTTAGGAGCCAGGATGGATAGGGATTTATTCCACTCCAGATATTTCAGGTGTGCAGCCATCAATATAGAGAGCTGTCCCTTCCAGGACATGGGCTCCAATTCCACGCCCAAGATTCAGAGCCTGTGTGAAAGCTGCCTTCCTTAGCCGGAACCAAGGGTTCAGTAAAGAGACAGAGGAAGGGGAAGGGAGAGGAGAAAGAGGAGAAGAGAAAAGGGAAGAGGAAGAGGAGGAGAAGAAAGAGGAGGAGAAGAGGAAGAAGAGGAAGAGGAAGAAGAAGAGGAAGAAGTTGTTGTTAAGTTAGGAAGTCAGAATGAAAGGTGGGGATGAATGTGTTTGGTCTGTGGTTTTAAAACTGTTCCATGGGCTGCTAGGAGCTTCTTGTCCCCCAAGCCCAGGAGGAAGGTATATAGTTTCTGTGCCACCTGGTCATCCCACAGCATTCAGTCTCAAAGAAACACACAGAGGTTTATATTAATTATACATTGTTTGGCCTATTAGTTCAGGCTTATTATTAACTAGCTCTTACAACTTTAATTAGCTCATAATTCTTGTCTATCTTTAGCCCTGTAGCTTGGTACACTGTCTCAGTAAGGCATTCTCATCTTGCTTCCTCTGTGTCTGGCTGGTAACTGACTCTCTGCCTTTCCTCTTCCCAGAATTCTCTTGGCCTGGTTGCCCCACCTACACTTGCTGCCTGGCTACTGGCCAATCAATGTTTTATTAAACCGAGACGAGTGACAAATCTTTACTGTGTAGAAGAGCATCATCCCACAGCAAAGGAGGGGCAGGACTTGAGGCAAATGAAGCTGCTCCCCCAGCTAGAGTACCTCCTACAGGGCTGCAGGTGAGCTTGTATTTCAGATGCTCTTTTAAAATTGAAAATTGTGTTCCGCTTAGAGTCCAGAGTGCCAGGCACGGGTTTGATCTTCATGTAAATGTCCTACCTGTGCCTACAAAAAGAGCTCCAGCACCCGGCTGGAGTTCCAGGGCCTTCCTGTCTTCCTCCTCTCTCGCTGTCCCTATGCCGCCGCCATGTAGTTCGAGATGGCTGCCACACCTCTCAGCATCACTGAGAATCAAAGGGGGAAAACAAAGTACTGCCTCCTAGAGAAGATTCTCGGTCAAAACACACGTATTGTACTGTAGGATCTTTGAGACGGACAGCCCCATTTCAGCGGTGGGGAGACAGAAGATGGAAATGAGAGCTCAATGCTAGATCCTTGGCAAGTACCCAGGCTGCCTACAAGCCACCTATGGGGACATCAACGAGGGAGAGTGTGTGTGTGTGTGTGTGTGTGTGTGTGTGTGTGTGTGTGGGTGGGTGGGTGGGGGGGAGGGAGGGAGGGAGGGAGGGAGTGAGTGAGAGAGAGAGAGAGAGAAGGATCCGGAGCCAATTATCAAATAGGAATCCCACGGGACGTTCTAGCCGGTGGGTCACCAGCAAGCAGGAATGAGTTTCCCGAGTCACACACTGAGAAAGGGCCCAGGCAGCATACATGCACACTTCATGTGAGGGCGGGTTCAATATGGCCAGGCAAGTCGACCACACAGAGCTGTCCCATCGACAGGGGTGGGTGTCAGGAGGTGGCAGCACAGGGCTGCAGTAGGTCTGGATCAAGTAAAGTACCTTGAGGAGCTGGGAGAGCCACCCGGCCCTGACCTGCTACACAGTTTACCTTCTGTCCAGATGGGTAAAGAGGTGATGGTAAATTAGAACTACCTTCCGCCCTGCTGTAACTCGCTGAGGAGATCTGTCTGCATGGCCACCATGGCACAAGGACATTTCCTGTGCACCTGATTTCCCCCAAGCAAAACTGAGCCCAACGTAAGACAGAGCACCCAACGAAGCTATCCATTGGTATCTGAAAGCACCAAGTATCACTCACTTTCTAAGTTCAAGTTTCACACTTTAAACTGGTAAACCTATTAGGCAATAAAACAGCTATTGGGTCAATGGCAGTGTCTACTACGCTACGCTAAAACAGTTCATAAATCATTGCACCAGACTGTCAAACAACATTTTAAAAACCATGCTAAATACTTCCCTTCCAAAATACCCAACACCTTAAGAATCTTCAATATCAAAGAACACGAAGACTAAATGGAACACAAGAAAGAAGGGAGACCCAAGCATTAGAATGTTTCTGTTTGGCCTGTTATAATACATTAACTCCTCGTGTAAATTAGACCCTTTAAATTGGTGGCTCGGCTCCATATAGCAACTCCTTCGGGTCTGACACCAGTTTATGCTGACCAGGGGCCTCTCTGCGTCCGACAGTTCAGAGCTGTCTGTGTGTATAAGGAGTGATTTTATAGCCCGAGGAAATGGATGCAGAGGGGTCGACTGGGATAGACTGACACACAGAAGTCTGGGTAGGTGGCCTCCATGGCTGCATGAACACGCTAGGAACACTGTCCTTCTAGAGGCTCAGTCCCTTTCTGCCGGCTCTGGGTCCCCAACTCCCTCTGGGCTTGGCTGGGGCTGTCGCTGGTAGGGCTGGCAGGGTAAAGTCCTCAGCTGAACTGCACTTCATTTGCCACCCAACACTAGCTACCCACACTGCTGGCTTCTTGCATTAAGGGTGTGAGTGTGTGTGTGTGTGTTTCATTGCTCTGGCTCTCACCAATTAGGCTAGGCTGGACAGGTGGCAAGTCAGGAATCCTACTGCCCTCAAATCTCCAGCTTTTTTACATGGTACTAGAGTTATAAACTCAAGTCTTCATGCTTATAAAGCACTTTAGGAACCACGCCATCTCCCCAGCCCCACGGATTTCCTTCTACGAGGATCCCAGTACAGTGTACTTGAATACAGTGAAGGGGAAGGCACCTGAGGGTTGTAATGCTGTTCTGAGGACCCCAGGCAGTGAGGGAGTTACCTGTGTCTTTCACAGATGGCTTTCTGGGTGATACAGAAGGGGCTGGGGGAATGCAGCAGGTGAGGAGTATCTGATACCCAAAAGGGAGACAATGGGAACACAGGGATGAAAGCTTCTCAGTGGCGAAGGAATGCAAACACATCAGCAGAGGCTGACAACCCTGCCAATAAAGTGGATCTCAAAGCCATGATGCCTGACTAGGAGGTCACCTGAAACAGGTGGCTACAGGGCTAAGGGAGCAAGAGAAGATGAGCTTGGAGACCCACTGAGTTGGCAGCCTGGGGAGGGGGAACTATACAGAAAGCCCGTCTAGATTATATGCTCAGAAGACAGGCCCAAGCCAGAAGTGCTCATGCTACCTGGCCAGTGTGACTAGGAAGGCTGGGGAGAGCATGTGGAGAGAGCCCGTGAAGAGGACTTGCAGGGGCGGAATCAGGCTGGGCCAGCAGCACCAGCTGGAGGCAGTGGAGAGAGGATGTGGACCGCCAGCTGATGAGTGAAGGAGAGAGGCAGGCAGCCTCAAGAAAGAAGTGGTCTTTCAGGATATTAAGAGCAGGGCTTCTGGGGCTGAGGCAAACACCAAGTCTGATCAGGTAAAGCTGTAGCTGTCCCCGGAAGCTCGAAGGTCTGAAGCTGATGGGCTCCCCCTGACCCTCACTGGAGAGGATTCTGTCATTTACCCGCATCTCAAGTAACTGCAGCATCCCTTTTCCTGAGCCTAGGGCTGAGGTGGCTAGCAGATGAGCCTACTTGTTTTGTCAGGACAAAAGCTCGGTGAGAGACCGACTTGTGTCCTCAAAGCTGGGCAAACCAGAGGGGACAGGAGACCAGGTGCAAAGGTGTGCAGGTGGCACTGGGCGAACATTGCTGGAACTGGCTTGAGGGCAGTGCCTACCTTGCACAGCAGAAGACCGACCTCCGGCACCGGCTTCCCTGTCAGGCAACCATGTGGACCGCAAAGCGTGGGCACCACAACTCAGGGTGGCTCTCCTCTCATCTGCATGTGGCCTCTAGCGGCAGCGAATGGCACCACAGCATCTGGCCTCTCATTTTTATGACTGAGCCCCCTAAGATACGCACCCCCCGCCACACACACACCTGAGCCAACAGTTATGAGGTAGGGGTCACATCTGTCCCCACTGCCTGGACACACACTCGGGACTTGAGAACTTGTGCGTGAGAGCAAACAGGAGCAGTGGACTGCTCTGCAGAAATGGAAACTGCCTACACTTCACAGCCAGCCTCAGGCCCGAGGGCAAAAGAGCAGCTTCCAGGGAAAACGGCCTAGTATGGTTTCCTACCTTGCCTGGAATTCACTGCCGCTTCTAAGGTCATGAACTGGTCTTTTTCTGACTCAGTCACTGGAGAAAGAACGATTGTGTTAGGACGGATGTGTGCTTTGTTCCCGGCCCGTGCAGTAGGCAGTACAGCGTCCCACCACACACACTGATGGGCTGAGCAGCTGAGAGTCCTGTCACAGGCATGCTTAGCAAACTCCCTACACACCAGAAACTGCAGGTGTCATGTTTGGGAGCTTGGAGTGTGGCAGCGTTGATCTGCATGCAGGCACGTTTCCCTGGGATGCCGGCCTCCAGACCACAGCACAGTGGAGAGCACACAGTGCTCCTGGAACTTCAAGCACCCACATGTGGGGCTCAAACTCCTGCAGCAGGCATGACCCCATGTGATGACCTGGCCACAGGGATGACCTAAGGATCGTATTAACCCCAGCAAGCAGCTAGTGCAGAAACCACCCCACCCCACCCCACCCTTCAGAGGAAAGCATCTAGTCCACACAAAGCTGGTTTCTAAAGTTTATTAAAAATCAAAGAATAGAAAAACTTTACATAAAAATATGTCAATTTTAGTGTCCACATTGTTGTCCACACACAAAATTAAAACATGATAGCTTCTGTCAGCCTGTAGCGTGTGGCCACAGTGGTAGCCAGGCCAATTCATTTGGTTCACCATTACAGGGATGGACACACACCTGGGCCTGGACAGAACTTTAAAACGCACATCTGTGGGTCACTCGCACGGCCCCACGGTGGCTCCTTAATGCAGATACAGTCAATATTGCTAATGTGTAATTAGTACAGGCCTGTGGACCAGTGTTCCTAAATATTCTTTAGCAACAGGTTTCACAATTTAAATAGTTTAAATATTCTGGATGATTCCAATCCTCATGAGCTGCAGACCCCATGAGCCACTCTGCTCAGGACTGTCTCAGAGTCAGCGGCTCCCACGGCAGCGGCAGCGAGAGGCAGACCCAGACACACACACTTGTCCTTGGCTAGGCATCCGGCACATTCAGACATCAATCTACAACTCCCACTGCTGCAAGCCAATCAGATGTCACAGCAATCAGTTTCTTGTTCTGACATTCTCTACCAGTGGACTGAAAGACCGACCTCTCTGTAGTGTTTAGCAGGGCCAGAACCCCCATTTCAGAAATGGAAGCCAGAGGGCCTACAAGATGCAAGCACTCCCGGGACAACCGTGGTGCTCCAGAGACTCGGGGTTTAGGCGATGGATATAATCTTGTTCAAAACAAGTAACAAAGACAGTGGTTGTTGTGGCAGAATACACTTGCATAGTATACCTGTATGCTGCTGACGTCAGGCACCAGCCGCTCCTGGGCCCACGCTGGCTGGGCTGTGCTCTCCTGTGATACAATAAAATACTCCCCACGTGCCCCGACCGCGGAGGTACTTTTCAGATATTTGCTCTTAACAGAACAGTGCATACCGCTATGCAGATTCCTCAATGGAATCAAGGAAATTCCTCTCTCCACATTCCTAATCTGGGTGCCATTGTCTGTAACGATACTCCCCAGGCCCACGGTTCAGACACATCACTTCCCGACCGACCGTAGCACGGCACAGCCACAGTACTGTACAATCTCTATGATGTGACCACCTCTGCTCCCTAGAGGTTTTTACTTCTGGCACTTTAAAAGCTGGATTTGCTGTCTAGTTTTTAAAAACCCAAACCAAAATGTCAGAACTTGTGGTCAGAGCAGGACAACAGCCCAAGGCCTACAGCAAGGCTGCCAGGAACGCACTGGAGGCCTGGGAGCTGAACGCCTCACAAAACCATCACGATGACTTGGCTCCTTCTCTGCATCCGACCAAAAGAAAAGACGTGAAAATAAAACCCGCAAGCCCCTCCTCACGGTGTTCAGGTAACGACACTTAACAGACAACAGCCAACACGAGGAACCCAACTTAGAAAATGCAAACTGGGAAAGGATCTAAGCGTGTTTAAAAAAAATTCCCTCCTCCCTTAAATATAACTTATGTGAAAATATGAAATTAAATAAAAAATATCTGAGTTATTGCACAAATCATAAGTTTTCAATATTTACATAGAAAAACAGTCCCAAAGTTTCAAACAAGACATGAGGGCAGTAAAACGGCGGCCTGCACACTCCCGTGAGAAAGACATGTAGCAGGGCTTGACCTCTCTGCCTGGGACAGACAGGAGCACACGCAGTCCTTCACTCCTTGGCCGCCCCTGCTGGGCACGGGCGCAGACTCCTAGGCAGGCAGACGCACATCCACGTGTAGTAAGGCTTCACAGATGAGCACAGGGAGCTGCTCTGTAGGATGGATGCGGCCACCACACAAACATGCAGAGTGACCTGTGCCGGGCAGCCCTCGGCAGCCCACAGTGGAGGTGCTGTGCGCAGTCTGGGGTGGGAGCAGCCAGGAGCCATTATCTGCTGAGACTCACAGGCAAGCTGTCCCTCGTGTGTGCGTGCTTTTTCCTCCTCCAGCCGGTGCGGTTGTACTGGTGGTGTCCTCGGTTGCCAACAGGAGGCCTCACGGCTCCACTACCCACAGAGCTGTAGCCGCCGCCCTGGGTGTGGTTGTGGGAGCCTTTCATCGACAGTTTCATGCCGCTGTGCTGCTGGAGAAACAGAGAGAGCAGGGCTGAAGTGCAGCACATGTACCATGAGATGACAAGAACCACAGCACGTTGTCCCTGCTGTGCTGTGAAGTGGGCAGACAAGAGCAGCACTGCGCTCCACGTCCTATACAGATTTCTGATTTGCTCTGTTTCGTCACAGGTATGAGAAGGTCCCTGTAAACCTCACTGTCTGTGACCGGAAGCATACATAGGAGTCACGTATGCCCAGCAGTAAAGCTTTGGGCCATTTCCAAAGCAACTGCAAAGAGGACAAGAGGAGCATGCGATGCTTCCGGGAAGAGTTGGGCAAACCCACCAGGTGGAGGAGGCTGCAGTGCCGAGGGCAGGAGTTCTCCATCCCCAATGCCAGCACACCCATAATAAGGAATTATCCCCTCCCAGAACAAAACTACACTGGCCAACTGGGATGGGGTAAGCAAAGAGGAGCTACTTTAGTAAGTACTGCATCCAGCGCTGTATGGGTCATGGGCTCTATCTGATGCCTTAGAGGATGAGGAAGGGTCCCAGGGCATGAAATACTCCCATGGCTAATGAGACTTGGCAAGACATCCCAGCATGGTGCAGCACAAAGCTCCCCACGGGCAGGGAAGCCAGCAGCAACTGGGCAGACTGGCGGACAGTGCCACTACAGGCTGTGGCAAGGGTAAGGCTTGGCTCTACCTTTTGACTTTAAAAACCAAAGTAAGTGGTAAAGTGAACTGGAGTCCACTGAAAGCCCTGCTCTCCTTCACGCTGCAGCGCCAGGGAGAATGGAAGTGCTGTCACTGCTTAAACTGTCGCAGTGAACCAACCAGCACTTTAGATGCTGCTGACAAAGGAAAACAGGGGTGAGCTGCACAGGCAGACACAGAGGCCCCTTGAAACTTTCTGGTCTCTCTGAGAGGCGCAGGCCCAGCTGCGGTGACTCCTGAGGCAAGACAGACAGCACTCACCTTGTGATATAGATGGGGACTGGACAGGGGATTGGGGGATGCCGAGGGGATGGCTGGGGAAGTCACATGGTGAACAGCCTTCAAAGACGTGGTTCCTTCCACGCCAGCCTGTCTGCAAGGAACAGGGGCGACTCCGAGGGTTGGTGGGGGGATGGTAAACCTGGTCTAGAAGGAAAAGGTAAGCATGAGCTTCCAGAGCGGGCAAACAACGTCAGTTCCTAGGACACAAACATGCCTGAAGGAGAGTCAGTTCACAATGAACACTGCTGGCTTGGATGCTGGCTCTAGAGAGGGAGCCTGTACCTGATTGTTCGTTGTCATGATCAATGTTCTGGGAGCAGCAGGCTGAGGCTTACTGCTGGGTATTGGCAAGGCTGTGGGCAGGCTGGCCATCAGGGTGGTGGGTGCTTGTAGGCTGAACTGACAAACACCGGGAGTGGTGGAGGCGGGCGCATCTGAGTCCTAGAGTCCAGCACAGAAACAAGGAGAGCTGTGAGCAGGGAGCCACTGAGGTCTCAAAACACACCCTCAGGGAGAGAAGCAGAAGAGGTCATTCGAGCAGATCAGGCTGAGCAACAGATGGTCCAAGTGTACCCGTTTCCTCAGAGTTACTTTAAAGCTGAGAAAGACCAGGCTATAGGAAATACAGATGAAACACGTGGACTTCAGTTTATAAATCTCTAAACCAGATTTAAAAAAAAAAACAAAAACAAAAAACAAAACCACTGAAAAAAGTCCATGGCTTGGCTGAGGGCTATTACTACCTCGGTCATGTGAGCAGCACAGCCTGGGCTTGCTTAAGGCCTATGGCAAAGAACACCAAGCACAGACTTCGTATGCATGCACACCCAGGAAGGCACTGAGACAGAGGAAAAGGTCCTGAACTCCCTGTTAGAGATAACAAGGACACCAACCACCCCACAGGTGAGGGAGACAGTCAAGAGCAAAAACCCACTCACAATATCACTTCCAGAGAGCGAAGACACGGAAGAAGCAGAGGAACCTGAGGACAGCAGCTGGGGACTGGACAGGGACAGAGTCAGGCGTTGGCTGTAGGGGGAGCCGGGCTCCCGGCTCTGCATCTGCTCCCCATTGCAAGTGTTGATTCTCTCCTTTATCTTAATCCTGTTGTCTGGGGCAGGAAAGCAAAGCAATGTGCCAGCAGCCCAGGGCTGCGGAGCTCTGAAATGTCGCATGTGCAACTAACAAACCAAACCTTAAATCTGAGTTAACCTAATTGTAAATGTATATTATACTAGTTATCAGAAAGCATTAAAATATCTGTCCAACACTGGGTGTGTAAATCTTACCTGTAGCTTTTATAAACTATAACATAAAGCAAGTATTTGAAATAGAAATGTAGAATTCTGAAATACAAAGACACACTGGAATTCTAAGATTTGAAACGAAAAAATACCTATCTCCATGATTTCTGGCCATTACGTGCTGGAATCCAATCAACCTGCCTGCCCCTCCCACACTCCTACTGCAGCTTCTGCTCTACTTCTATTAGCTTAGGCCTTACAGGAGGAATGGTCTGTCCAGAAAAAGCAGAAGGAGCCACCTTCCTGGCTTGGACAACCCACAAGAGGGTAAGAGAGGCTTCCGTGCTGAAGGGCAGAGGGCCAAGCCTCACACTGTGTCGGTCTCTCACCCAGGTCTGGAGACGGGAGGATTCTGCTACCCCACTTTTCTTTGATCCACCTCCGGTAGTCAATCACTTCCTGGGTGACTTTGATGATTCTTCCTAAAGTACTGCAAAGAACAAGGTGGGACACAGACATCATGTGTCAGGTGTGAGGCTCATGAAGGACAAAAGAAGTCGAGCTGAGTGAATGAGCTCTTATGTGTTTACATTCAAGTGTACTATGAGGTCACGATAAAAGGAGGTCCTTAACCACCATCTGTCTACGAAAGACGACGGCTCCAATCCAGCTCTTAGGGGCCCAGACCCCCATTCACAGCAGCCATGGAGTATTGTTTCCCACTACAGGGTAGGAAAGACCCCAGTGCTGGTCTGCAGCACAGCCACAGTGCCATTCCCAACAGCAGGCTGCGCAGTCCTGTCCTCCCCACCAGCTGTCTGCTCCCCACCCCCACATGCTATACCTATGCGGCAGCTAACCTGGAGTCAGAGATAAACATGTCTGACTGGAGGATGGACCAGCACCAATCCAGGGTTTAGAAGTCAGGATCTGCCCCCATACAGAATACCCCAGTAAAATACCACCCCATTAAAGAATGTTCAGCCCTAGCCCATGGGCCATCCAACAGCCATCCTGAATCCCAATCCTTATTACCAAGGTCCACTCAAGAATGACAGTGTACCCACCAGTATCACAGAAACACACAACTAGAGAAAGTAGAGCTGCCACTCCCCAGGACCCAGGTCCAAGACCCATTACCTTTCAGAATCCCGGTTGGGGTAAGACCGGGCGAGCGGCGACACGGCATGGCTGAGCACAATGTAGGCGTAGTCAAACACCTGCTTCACCTGCATGGCCCCGTAGGAACTCCGCCCAACATCGTTTCCTGCAACAAAGGCAACTGTCAGACTGCTTCAGGTCTGAGCATCACCCTGCCATTTGCAACTTCTCAAACACGGCCCTGGGAACGGGGCCTCCAACTTCAGCAGCTCATGCAACAGGCATGAGAACACAGCGCCGAGTGCTGCCGACCGCAGCTCACAGCTCATGTATGTAAACACACACAGGTTCGGTGTACATCAGATGCCACGTCAGCAGTCTACTGTTACGACTGCAAAGGGGGCAATCACAGGGATCCTGAGAGTTCATGAGGTCACCTAAGTCCCAGGGTAGCAGGAAAAGAAAAAATACCCACAAGGAACCACCCACCACAAGGAAATCAAGACATCCTAAGCTCGAACCAGTAGTGTGGCCCTGGCATAATCAATAACCTCACTGGTAAGTCCTCAGTGTCCCACAGATGAGAGGGCAGTCGCCTGAACACACAAGGAGAGCTGGTTGGGAGTGAGCGCTCTAAGGAAGAGGGCTACCAGTCTAAACTCAGAGCAACCCAATGAAGCTGTCCCTAGAGTTAAGAGGAACTACACACATTCATCCCTCACGGATGGGTGAGGTGCGGACTCTTAGGGTTTCGTCTTCCTAGACTCAGCTATAGCACAGCAGTCATGCAGACACACTGACACAGACACTCAGGAAAACCACACCTCCCCATCTATGGAATCTTTCAGACCTCTTAAAAGACAGCTGAGAAGAACTGTCAGGACATTCTCTTCAATAAATTCTTAAAGAAATTAATAACATCCAAGAAGCATTGAAACACTAATAAAATGTTCATTAAATTTGAGGATAATAAAACAAATAATGAACAGGAATAAACACAAATAAAACCACAAACTGGGGTGCAGTGAGGGACAGGTTTCCTTAACACAGGGGTACAGTGAGGGACAGGTTCCCCTAACATAGGGGTACAGTGTGGGACAGGTTTCCTTAATACAGGGGTACAGTGTGGGACAGGTTCCCCTAAGATAGGGGTACAGTGTGGGACAGGTTCCCTTAACACAGGGGTAGTGTGGGACAGGTTCCCCTAAGATAAGGGGTACAGTGTGGGACAGGTGCCCCTAACACAGGGGTACAGCGTGGGACAGGTTCCCCTAACACAGGGGTACAGCATGGGACAGGTTCCCCTAACACAGGGGTACAGCGTGGGACAGGTTCCCTTAATACAGGGGTATAGTGTGGGACAGGTTCCCCTAACACAGGGGTACAGTGTGGGACAGGTTCCCCTAAGATAAAAATCCATTGAGGAGCCTGCTCAACAGACCCAGCATCCACGCCTGCAGCCCTATGAGAAGGGACAGAGCACAGCCACTCTGTCCCCTGCCCTCGCTGACTCTCACCTAAGGGGTGCTCAATAAGCCATGTGCAGAGCTGAAAAGAACAGAGTTAAACAGGAATCTGCAGCATGGTTTTACCAGACTGGCAAAGGTTTAAAGGCCACTGTTACCACGGTGACACGAGCCCCCTTACACATGCCAAGGGGAGTGAGGCTGGGAGAGCCCTGGCTCAGCCCCTATGGAAACAACAGCAACGTTCATGATGACACAGGAAAGCCGGGGAGAAAGTGCTGCGGGACGGGAGACTCCACCCTTCCTGGTGTGCTTCTTCCCAGGAGTGAATGGTTTCTGGAGGACGCAGTGACTAACCTTCCCAAGTCCAGCACTCACGCAAGGTGAGGTTTAAAATGCAGTAAGCCAGTTAGAACAAAGACTCCTGACAGTGTCACCGCTAAGGTCTGTGGGTACAAAACCAGCCACAGGGAGTAAGCTCACCAGGCAGCAGGGGGTCCTCAATGCACAGCATCGATGGTCGGTACCCACTGGTCATGGCTTTCATAATCTCTTCTTTGGCGATATAGGCACCTCCTTCTTTTATTCTAATACCAGTTTTCAAGTAATTAAAATTTCTTCCATAAAGTTCAAAAAATTCTACAAGAAGCATTCCAAGGTTTTCGTCAGCTCTCCGGGCATCAATTCTTGGATGTAACTGTAAAAGTAGCACAGCCACAAAGCGTATGAACTAGGGATACATTCTAAAGACATATCCCTAGCAGTCTCTCCAGAGACTCAGAGTCCCCACTCAACAGCCCCTAAGAAAGTGTGAGCTGCGTCCAGGAGGCCCCAGTGCACCTGCCAGCCTGTCAGTCACTCAGACCATGACTTCCAAACACAGACACCGGAGTAGCCCCATGCTGCCCGACAGGAGGTTGTCAAGTGGATGGTGGACGCACCGGTTCACATTGATCTCATCCTCCTGAAATGCCACCAGTAGGTGGCAGAACAGCACCGACTAGAATCACACCTTGCGTGAACCAGAACGTGAGTGGACTAAGCTTGCCCAAGGAACTCACCCTGCTCCAAGACACACCACTGTTAGGCCGAGCTCATCACCACACTCTCTGCAAGCCAAAGCCTCCTACGGCCCCTCGCCCACTGTCCCGACAACTCCTC